GCTTTACATTTGACGTATTGTAAATGGTTACTCCACTGTGGTGTAAATGTAAATGTACTGGACACATCAAATAATTCGCTGTCCTCTGAATTAGGAGTAGATGACGTCATTGTAGTTGACTGTAGTGTATTACTAATATACCACTCTATAGTAGGTGCAGTTTTGCAGTAGCTGTACAAGTCAGAGTAAAGACCTTCCAGCATTTACAGTAAAATCGTCATCATTGTTATACCCATCTATCACTGGAGATAATGGCGGAACTGAATAAAACAATTTTAAGAAGTGATTTGTAGAACCAGAGCAGAAATATTGCCAGACCTGCTACAAGTTAATTGCTATTCCATACTAGTATGTACTGTAATGTACTTGTAGTGTCATATAAACCATTACTTACATAATACATCCAATATCACATATGTACTGTAGTGTGTATGTGTGGTAAATACATAGGCGTCACATTTAATATGTTTATCTTGGTCACTATTCCATACTGGTATGTACTGTAATGTACTTGTAGTGTCATATAAACCATTACTCGATGTGTCACTTGTTGTTATACCATTTGTTATCTGTGTACTACCAATATACCATTCTATAGTCGATGCTGGTTTAGTTCCTGAAGTAGTGCAGATAAACGTGGTCATGGCATTCCTAGTCACCATTACTGTATCCCTATGGTTATAGTTAGTGAACACTGGCCGACTTGACAGTGGCACTGAAAGCATACAAAAATCATAAAATACTGTTTATATTGTAATGATTACATTTTACTGATAGAAAACACACAAATTCCATTCTCATTTGTATATGACTGTAGTATGATGTGAATGTAGTTGATTTAAATACCACCTTGTTTTCCATGACACGATTACAAAGTATATGCTATATGCAAATGGTTTGAAGAGATTTCGTTATTACCAAGTGTAAACATCTTAATTTAAAGCTCTCATTACACTGTAAGAATTGATAATACAAACTAACGGTAGAATGGTTGTAATGATTGTAGCGTTCAAATGGTGCGGCCTATAAGTTTTTTTTATAAAGTTAATCAAGTGACTCGAATTCACATACCATGACTAGACAATGTTTTTGAATTCCCGTGTAGATTCACATCAAATAAATTAAATTAATATACATTAAATAGTCACTGGTATCAGCGACAGCCATTTACTGTCATTTCTCAGTTCGATAAAATATGTAAGCATACATACATTCCAAAATAATGTATTATACTGTATAGTTGCAGATATTAGATAGCTTACGTTGTCGTTTGTTTTAGAAAAAAGGACGATGAGTTACCCATTATGTTGTGACAACAGGACAGGAACGTGCGCAATAATGGGCGGGAGGCAATCCAGTCAATTATTTAACAGAGAATCTTCGTACAGTTGTTATTATCCCGCAATAATAGACTCATTATACTACCACGAAATTTCCAAAAAGAAATATAGTGCAGTGCTACGCTTTAGAAGAATTAAATTGACGCATTGAGCGTGCACAACAAAACACACGTAAAAACACGGCTATAGGTAACCAATGACCAGGACCTCAACGTGAACGAATAATAATGGGAATGTTTAAATGATTCCTACAAATGTGGCAAATATCAGCTATTGCTGGTACATATGCCGTCGTGTTCTTTCTTTCGACTCCAGGAACTGCCCAGTTATTTGTCTCATGACTGGGTAGCACGTGCCACAAATTGAACAATAAGAACTTGCCGTTATATTACAAGAGTTTATCTTTACTACATTTTGAGATGTATTTTTTTAATATTTATATTTAATTATTTATAATAATGCTGTTTCTCTTTGTGCACATAGCATTAAAGAGGTACATATAATTTATAACAAGGAATTATTTACCTATAATTCTAACATTACCACATGTGTTTGACATACTGCTGGCGTCAGCAGTTCCAATCCCACAAAAATAACATCCATCATCGTTGATATCTACATTGGGTATCTTTAAATCATAGTTGTTTGTACCAGTAGTAGCCACACTCCAGTCAGAGTGTTTTGTAGAGTCGTGACCAGTGCCTATGTACCCTCCAGAGCTGAGTGCAATAAATATCTCATCAGCGTCATTAACTTTAGACCACTTTCCCACGCTACCAGCAAAGTCTGTGATGACACAATTCAGAGTAGCATCTTCTCCTAGTAGAATATCAATATCTGTCGGTCCAACAACATCGAAACTATAACCTAGAATAAAGAGCACATTACCATTCAACCACGTCTTCAGGTTTATATATTTGGTTCAAGCAGATTATTATTAAAGTTGAAGTTCAACTTCATAAGCAGACGAACCCATTTTAGAGGACTACGCCATTGGTAATTTATTATGCGAGCAATAAATATTACCAAATGCAATATGACAGCGAGTAAGATAATTTTTACAGTGGAATTAGAATGGCATTATATTTAAATAAAAATAAATAAAACTTAAACTAAATTCGGAACGTTTTTACTCATGATCATACAACATGCGGGTTGTATCTTGTCAAAATGTTGTCCAATCTAGCATGTATCTCACAATTGACACAACCCGATACTTTTTTTCTTAAATCACACTCGATATTTTATGCGCTATTGACGAACTGATTAATCGTTGTACGCAAATATGTGTGTTCATATTGTTGGGGCCGCCTCCGTTCGACTAATGGAACAGTTTCCTCAATTGTTTCAGAATCAATATATTTGTAATTTTTGAGATTCTATTTTGAATTGAATCTAGGTGACAACAATTCCTTAATATTTATGTCTTTCGATGACTATTCCAATTATTGGGTTTTCTGTCATGGCAGACAAAAGGTACGCCTGGAGAATATAAGTAAGAATGTAGTAAACGCGTTGAGTCATTTCCCCCGCCAACGCTTATTTTGCGATCGATGGTTGAAGCTCGTAATGAGATGTCATTATTTGAATGGAACATAACAATAAGAAGGCGATAGAGGGTGCAACCTCGTTACGTTATCGGAACCGAACTCGGCTCGAGCTGGCTCCGTTAAACGCTATCACGTAAAGATGTCGAACAGCTCGACGAGTGGCTTCGGTTCACTACTCAAATACACCACGTTCATAATTTTACTGGATCAAAAGAAGCAAACAATAAACAATTAATTGTATGATTTAGCTATGTTTAGTATTATAATTGTGGAAGGTAAGCTACCTGAAATGTAATTTGCTTTACTTCCTTGTACGGTTTTGCGTGAAAAACTTGTGTTCCCTCAATAATCCGAATCAAATGATAAAGTTCATTTCATATATGATTATGTCATTATGCTATGTGTATATTATACTCACAGATTGTAGCACCAATAGTTAACACACAATAACCATATGCCAATGCTCGATTTCCAGTCAACATAATGCCGATATAGATTTTCCTTTGTCTGAACTTAAATCACGTGTCCTATTCAAAGGTCACCCAGTTCAAACCTATATAACTATTCAAAAATACTGTTTTGTATAATCGTTGTAATTTTGTTAATGTAATTCTTTGCCACTGTTTGAAGCAAGTGTTCAGCTGTTAGTAAAATATTATTTTCTGAAAACGCAATACTCTAATATCAAAAAGTTACCAATTTATTTATTTATTTATTTATTTATTTATTTATTTATTTATTTATTTATTTATTTATTTATTTATTTATTTATTTATTTATTTAATTATTTTGTCTTTCTCAGAATCCAATCGAGTACAAAAAGAATGCTCAGCGTAGTGCGTGCCTGTGGCGTGTTTGATAATAGCCTAGCCCATTATAATAATAGGGTCGTTAACAAAATAAGATAATTAACGTAATCATAATAAATTAATATAACATTGTACTCTGAATATGCCGCCCACCATTCGTCATTTGTCTTGGCAAGACCTTGTCTAAATGATGTTATACTTATGTTATAGAAGTGCTATACAAATACGACCTCAATTCACGACAAGCGTCTTTAGCTGCTTGTATGTATGGCTTTTATAGATCTCAAAGTTGTTTCCACTATTCGCGCCGCGAGATTTGCAATTTTGTTTGACAGTGATGACCTGTATAATCTAAAGTGATAGAACAATAGTGTCACTCTAGCGAGTAAGTAATAAAACGTTTCACATTAGCACCGTAGTTTAGGTCTATATAGTGTAAATGATATCTCGGAAGCCACAACTATAATGCACTCGTGTCCTAGGAGTGGGTATACCTCATAATCTACAGTTGGCTAAAAACACGAGCCAGATTAAAGCACTCTCGGTTGATGCATGTGATTGTATTCGATTGTGTGAGGCTAATCTCGGAATATGGCATCGAACCGCCGTCTTGTTTGATGTAAGCAAACCGTAAAACTATAAAATGAAAAAAAAATATTGTTTAACATGAGTTTTTGTTGTAAAATTGAAATACGGTGTTTTATATTCAATTAAGGCAATCATAAAGACGTGGCATGCCAGACATGTGATAAACAATGCACACTATTTCCATTATAATTATGGGTATATTACTACCAATGTCACGACAACGTGAAATCAACGTAAACTCAACCGAACATCAAACAAAGTAATAGATATGATGGCTTAAAACGTAATATAATCAGTATAGAGCAAAAGAATAGCACGTTAACAAATTAGCTCACAGCAATACAATACGTTACCAAGAACCGCCTGGAACTTTTATATGTGTGTGGTTGTGCAATGTTATGTAATGTTACTTGATGTTCTTAAGACACGCAATGACTCACTGTGTTGACAACTGCACAGCATGATTGATCCCCGACGCAATTGTGTACTGATTGATTGTTTCTCGATGCCTCCACAGCCGCACGCAAACACGTGTGTAGAAATATGCAATTTGCCGACGAAATACAAGTATCTTTCCCGGAGCTTAGTTAGCAACCACATGTGACGCTAATAATCACATGGAATATCAACCACATGTAACATAACGCAACGACCCATATAATCGCAAGCACCCTCCCATAAGATGATCCAAATAGCATTATTGTTATTTAGATATATTTATATGCAGTCAGGAGGTATATATATATATGCATATAAAATATTATGTCGTCTATGGAGTTTTGTCTGCGAAGTTAACTCAAAATTCATGGTGACTGATTGAATTGGACTTTCCGAGTTCATAAACTTTGACATTCACACAACAACCTGCTTGTAGCGTAGAATATTCGCGATCCGCTCCGTTATGGTTGTATGTCGAACAATGTACACGTATTTGAAGATCCGATGAACTTATATAGACTTGAACTTTAGCATATTTGATATGATTTAAAATTGTGTCTAACTGCAAATATTAGTATTCATTATGGACTGGATACGAGGGCGCGTAAGCCGTACGATCGAGGGCAGCAAAAGCCGTATCCAGTCCATAAAGGTTTTATCATATATATATATATGATATATAACAGCATTTTCAACCATTGTATTATTAGTTGCATTTGATCTCGTATATATATATATATAAAACACGTCTTTAGTTATGTTATTATTCAGCTGGCATCG